GGTTTTACCTGACTACCTATGAAAAGTGTCTAAAAAACATTTCTACACACACACAGACACACACACACACAGAAATAAACAACTCCTGTTACCCAGGTTTGCTGGTATATTATGAGAACCTGGGAGAACTGAAGATTTTTGCCTTCCTGGGGTGCATGCTAATGAACACTGATAGCATCACATAGCTATAAATAAACTCCAACTTTGCAGATATATTAACTTTCACCAGATTTGAAGAAAAAGTTGCTACACACTTAGAAATCAGCTGAAGATTCCTGAACTTACAATCTTAACTCTTAAATCACACATTTAAGGAAATCTCATCACGGTACAGAAATATAGGTTTGGTAACAACCCCATTGCCATAGCTAGCTGTCTAGAGGCTCCCATTCCCAGCAGTGTCTTCTGTTTCTTCTCTCACTCACAGACATGCGGCCAGTACACTAGGTATGTAACAAAGATTACAACTCTATTTCGAAATGCTTGGAAAATGTGGTCTCTTTGATGTATGCAAAATCTCTGTGAACTACACATGGGAAGGCTGCTGAAGCTGTAGGCGTCAGAGGACACTTGGAGCCTCAAGGCTACAGTGCTCAGAAGTGCTGACACAGAACAAGGCAGCGATGGCTGCTTACTGTGCAAAGGGGCACAGCACACTGCAGAGCTATAACAAGTGGAGTGATTAACTGAAAGTTGTTCTAATTAATGCCTTATAGATAGGAATTAGGAGAAGTATCTTCAGAATGACAAGATGAAAAAAAAGAACAAAGATGAAAGTAGAGTCTGGTTGACTTTCTTGCTTCTTTTTTTGATATAAAATACCGAAGGAGCCTTGTTCATTATTTGAACAAGGTAGAGAGGTAGAGAGTCATTAGGGACTTCTCTGCTGCCTAGATTTTGTGAGAGCTGTTTGCCCAACCCTAGACATACACAGCCTAGCTTCTGTGTATCCTTTCTGGCACCATCAGGCATGTACACAAAAGGGAAGCAAATAGGAAAGCTTTGTTTAGTGGGCGCTAGTCCAGAACTTGCTTTCAGGAGAGAGGAAGAACTCCTACAAGTTGCTGGGGTCAATCTGTCTTTATAGAACCGTTTTATATGGAAACAATGGGGGTTTATAGAAAGGTAGAAGAATGTCTCTGCTAGTTCTGAGATAGATATAAGATGATGCATGTATCTGGAAAGAAATTAGAGATTGCCAGACTGAATCATAATTTTCAGGGAGAGAGTTGGTCCAAAAATGTCAAAGAAAGAACATGTATATGTTCGGCTTTTATTCAGTGGGTCATAATTATGGAGAAGGAGAAAAAGGAGTCTGACTTGCTCCTAATGGGGAAAATCAATCTGCCATTTTACAAAGCAGAACAATCCTTAGGAGTGGTGTGAAAGGGTAATAAGAAATGCCGATGCTTCTCTAGAATCCTTTAGGTTGCCACAATGAAGACTAAATATCTCTGTGCACTGAGGATGTAAAGGAAGAATGACTCTAATGAGAGGGACCTAGGTTGATGTGGTCCTTATGTGTCTTCGGAATAACACTGGGGGAATATCTTTATCTTTCATTGTCTACTGACTCAGGTGCTCACATCCTTGAACTTCTGAGTTTGCTCTAAGGCATTAGAAGATCTGAGCTCAGATCTGGTCATGTGGCTGTGGACAAGGTATCCAGCTTTCCTGAACTTTGGTTTCTCTACCCGCCCAGAAAGAAGAAAATATTTGCACAGAGACTTCTTTAAGACATGCAAAATCTTACCATGCTTACAAGTTGTATCATCAGCATCACAATTGACTAAAGTGACTGAAGAATTAGGAAGAAGATACATTTTAAAGACTAACTAGAAAGCAGGGGAGTAGAGACAGCATTGAGAGAGGACAAAGTCCGATGGAGGATTTCAGTTTGAGTGCTGCCTTATGGATGTGCCTATCTGGCAGCTGAAAAGGAGGCTGTCAGCTTTCTCCTCTGTGGGCAAGTGATGCTGAGATGGATGTGCATCCTGGTGGATGGTCTCTGGGTCCAAGTACTAAAGTGAAGGAGGGACTTGATATGACAGCACAACTCATGAGGGTAATGTCTCAAGAACCTCATTGGATTTCCACTTTCAAAGCTCATTTTTTTCTAAAGAGAGGTTTTGGGCACCCAGCAAGATATCATGATTTTGCTGGCATAGACCTTTTGACTGTGAGCTGTGATCGGGGGGCCAAACTCTTCATATAATCATTAAATCCACAAATAATTATTAAGAACCAATTCTGTGGTGCTGTTCTATATACTCTGGATAACAATAGCAAGTATTTAATATGTGTCAGCATCCTTTTAAGGGTTTTACATATGTTAGCTTATTTGATCCTCATTATAACCCATGAAGTTGGGCCTGCCATCATCTGCACTTCATATGAGGCACTGAGAGGCTAGGTATCTGGTTCAAGGTCATAGTAGGTGGAGTCAGGATTTGAACACAGGCAGACTGGCTCCAGAGCCCATGCTCTTGCATATCAGATAGCAGTGACCATCACAGGTAAGATCCCTGTCCTCACAGAAAAGGAGAACACAGACAAGGGAAAAGTAATGTTATTTTCTGTTTGATAAGTGCTGTAATGAAAACTAAAGCAGAGTAAGGGGACAGAGTGACAGAGGAAGGCAGGCTATTTTAGATAGTGTGGTCAGGGAAGCCCTCTGTGATAGGTGAAGTCTGAGTAAAAGTCTGAGTAAGAAGGGGAATCGGACAACTGGAAGGTCTGAGGAGGTTATTCCAGGCAGAAAGTACAAAGACTCTGAGATGGAAATAAGCTACAGATGTACTAGGGACATGAAGAAGGTACTGACATAGCATGAGGGAGACAAGAGCGATGGAGGCCTTTGAGGACATTAAAAAGACCTCAGATTTTATTGTCAGGGTGCTACAAAGCCTTTGTAGGGTTTTGACCATTGGTGTAACCTGCTCTGGTTTTCTTCATAAAGAAGATCACTCTGGCAGTGTGTGAAGAACAGTACATTTGGGGAGGATGCAATCTGGGAGGCAAGTTAGAAGGCTATCAGAGTGGTCAGTGAGAAGAAAATACCGATGCTACTTTATTTAAGGCGTTTTCACCAAGGGCAACTTATTCTAGCTTAGAGTAAGGTGGCTCTGGAAGTCTACATCTCAGAAGCTAACTATGGTAAATCTTATTCTTGAGCTCTGGAACAGTCTTGATGTGAAAGGGAAGTGAACGCAAATCTCCTGGGTGTTGACATACAACTGGCTAACTAGTTCTCTGGAATGAAAATGTCAGGGACTCTCTGGGCAGGGTCTTCAAGGTCTCATAATCAATCCCCAGCTGCTCAGCTAGTTAACATGGAAGCCCTGGGCATTTGTTGGGCTGTGCTGGTGAGGGCACAGAGGCTCCAGTGTTTTGAGTTTGCTTTTAGTGCATTCATTGGGGATGTTTGATGACAGCCAGTCTAGTCATTTTTTTTTTTGAGAGGGTAGTTTTAGCACTTCAAATGAAGATACAGCCGAAATGGTGGAACAGATTACTTACAGGTGCCTTTTCTAAGCCTTTTCTACGCTGAGTAACTTTATACTAACAGATAAAACCAAGCCTGTTTTGGAGATGCTTGCCAACTTTTACAAGGGAAAGTGCCAAAGAATTAAATCTTTCTGAGTTTACGAAAAATAAGGAGTTAGGCTGGCCGTTTTTCCAAGTTCCAGTGCTAAAGGATCCCATAAAATTCAACCACTAATGCCTGGAAAATGTCATCATTCTAGAATTTTCAAAATGCAACTCTTATTTATCTGCCACCATCAAAGTATATGCAAATGTGCAGATCAATTTCTTTTCATGGCTACCCTATTATCTTTTCATTCCCGCAGTTAAACATCATTTCCTAGGCTTGTCTGAATGTGGCAAAGTTATTCTATTGCTAGATAACTACAGAACTCAAGGAGAAGGGATTGTTTTATTACATAAGCAATAAAATAAAACCTTTAATTTTAACATAAAATGAAAACTACAGTTTTAAATACTGCTTCTTTTTTTTGAATTCTGTTTAGCGTCAAGCATGAAGATTATATGTTAATATATTATGATACAATATAATGTCAATCAAGCTGGTACCTTTTGATGATGTCAAATAAGTTCTTTCCAAAATACAAGCAGAAATTAGAAAAATGGTAAGGGGCTTCCCTTCCACATTTTACAAACAAATTTACAAGAGAGGAAAATGAATAGAAGCAGAAATGAAGCTTATGGTGTGAATGTTGCTAAATCCAAGAAAAATAATGAAGAGCATAATTTTGTTAGAGAGTGAAAAAATCAATTAATAGCAAGCGACTTTAGCCTTTAGCTTTCCAATGAATTTTGCACAAAGATGAACATGTCACACGACCCAGAGACGGTGCTGTGGCAGATGCTTTGCTCTACCTCAAAAGCAATAGAAAGGCACACACAAATCAAGGTGAGCCCTGGCCCTTCTACAAGATGAAAACAGAAACACCTTCCAGGACTCCTTTGTGGAGTCCATCCCAAAGAAGCAGTTTACACCACTTGGACCTGCAGATATACCTTCCATGTGGCAACAAAATTAGGTTCATCACCAACAACCATGTCTTCAAGAAATAGGCAATCTTATCTTGAACTATGATATTACAATATTAAGAAAAGTAGAATACATTTATACTCTTTGACACACGTCCATATATAAATGTGTAATATATGTTAAAAAAGGACAACCTTTTTTGAAGTTTCCCATATTTAAAGCATCAATTTTTAGTTACATATAAGAATTCAGCTTCCAAAAGAATGTATTCCCTGGAAATTCTGAACAGCTGATACTTTCCTTTATGTTCTCCTTGAATTCAAAAATATAATAGGTCATCTTTCTATGTCTATATGAGTACAAGGAAGAGAGTTTTATGATTCTGTGTAAATAATAAACACCAAAAGCAGTGATGTCTAATCAAGGGGATATGTCAAAACTTTAAGCTCTTAATGAGAAACAGTACATCACTGAACTGTCTTACCTGTCGACGAATCATTCCCAGGTCTCTTTTGGCTTTATTCACTAGAGTCTGAATTTCTACAGGATCTTTTACATTCTTATTTTCTCTGAAGGCATCTCTTATCCTTCTGATAGCATAAGTTCTAAACAAATTCAGGGGGGGAAAAAGAGAAAAGGTGTCAGCATCTCTGAAGCTATGCTTTTAAATGAATTTAAAAGTTTTTCCTTAGGAGTCATTGTCTGATATTCTCCTGTGGATAATCACTTCGATATTTGCTCTTGGGACAGGCCCATCTATTACAATTCTGGGATGACTAAGCAAACATATTTAGGGACATAAATCTACCTCAAATGAGTCACATATAAATGGCAAACTGTTACTGAAATGCTCCTTAGATTGCTGTTCTTTATAGAGTTATTCACATCTGGTTTCCTTCCATTTACATGGCTAATTGAACCTTTAATGTACAGAGACAAAGCAAGAACTGAGAGGAAATGATGCACCACATACACATGCATGAAGACACTTATCTAAGCTGGACTTGGGGCAACCCTTCAATCTTGTCCCATATTTTGGTTATTTCTTCCTCTTGTGTAACTTAATGTTAGGATCCACATCAGGATCCTACCTCAGTCCAGAGTGGAGATTACACCAAAATGCTTAAAAGTACACACATGAGCACATACATGCACATGCCTAGCACCTCCTCCCCCATATAAATTATATGCAGTACAAGAATAGAGGTTCAAGTACAATGCTTTCAAATCAGACAGGCTCGGATTTGAATTCTTGCTCTAGCTTCTACTGCTTGTGTGAACTTGGGCAAGCTTCTTAACCCAGGTTTTCTGTCTGTCAGATAGGCACAATCCTGTCTACCTCCCAGGAATGCTGGGAGGGTTAAGCTTTACAATGAATGTCTGGAATCTGGCACAGAATCTGGTACAAAAAGAAGACTCAATAAATGAAAACTATTCCACTTCTTCTTGCTATTCCCTACTGCAGTTAGTATTTTCCTCTCCTCACATCACTTTCAAACCACACTGCATTCCTAGAGGGTAGTTGATCTGGATAATTAGCCATAACAGAAGAGTCAAGAGTCCTTAACCTGATAAACTCCCACACTCTGAGAGTCATGGTCTTGACCCCCAGGCCCACCTGTCTGCACCATACGAAAGACAAGGCACTAAGGAGAAGCAGCACAAGTCAAACATATTAGACAATTTCCGCTAGTCTTTGCATCATCTCAGATTGCCTGGCTCTTAACTTTGAACACCTGCTATATAATCTATGTGAAACTATTAGCAATGTTTAGAAACAGAAGAATAGAAATAGAGACAAAGAAATAGGAGAAGAAGTATATCATTTCCCAGGGAGCTGGGGTGGGTGGATATTGGGAGGAGGATAAAACTTACTAGGGAACCTTATTCAATTTTAAAGTATATTTTTTGATTATGATATTAAAGTTGTCCCATTTTTTATCTCCTTTATTCCCCTCTGCCCTGCACCCCTCCTCCCACCAGCATTCTGCCCCCTCTTAGTTCATGTTCACGGGTCAGACATGTAAGTTCGTTGGCTTCTCCATTTACCATACTATTCTTAACTTCCCCCAGTCTATTTTGTACCTACCATTTAAGCTTCTTATTTCCTGCACCTTGACCTCATTCTCACACCTTTCATCCTGGCTAATATCCCTCCTTGTGATCTCCATTTGTGATTCTGCTCTTTTTCTAGCTATTTGCTTAGTTTTTACTTTTTTGTTTTTGTTTTCTGGTTCAGTTGTTGATAATTGTGAGTCTGTTGTCATTTTACTGTTCATAGTTTTGATCTTTTCATAGATAAGTCCCTTTAACATTTCATATGAAAGGGCTTGGTGATGATGAACTCCTTTAACTTCACTTTATATGGGAAGCACTTTATCTAACTTCCATTCTAAATGATAGCTTTGCTGGATAGAGTACTCTACATGTATCTAGGCCCTTGCCTTTCATGACTTGGAATACTTCTTTCCAGTCCCTTCTTGCATGCAAGGTTTCTTTGGAGAAATCAGCTGATAGTCTTATGGGATCTCCTTTGTAGGGAACTGTCTCTTTTTCTCTTGCTGCTTTTAAGATTCTCTCCTCATCTTTAATCTTGGGTAATGTAATTATGATGTGGTTGGTGTGTTCCTCCTTGGGTCCAACTTCTTTGGGACTCTCTGAGATTCCTGGACTTCCTGGAAGTCTGTTTCCTTTGCCAGATTAGGGAAGTTCTCCTTCCATTTTTGTTCAAATAAGTTTTCAATTTCTTGTTTTTCCTCTTCTCCTGGCACCCCTATGATTCAGATGTTGAAATGTTTAAATTGTCCTGGAGGTTCCTAAGCCTGTTTTCTTTTTGAATTTTTGCTTTTTCATTCTGTTCTGATTGAATGTTTATTACTTCCTTCTGCTCTAAATTGTCGATTTGATTCCCATTTTCCTTTCTGTCACTGTTGATTCCCTGTATATATACATTTTAAATATATTTTATTGATTATGCTATTACAGTTGTCCTATTTCCCCCCTTCACTCTCCTCCACCCTGTACACCCCCTCTCACCCACATTCCCCCCTTTGGTTCATGTCCATGGGTCACACTTATAAGTTCTTTGACTTCTACATTTCCCATACTATTCTTACCTTCCCCCTGTCTATTTTCTACCTACCTTATATGCTACTTATTCTCTGTATCTTTTCCCCCTCTCTCCTCCTCCCTTTCCCCTGTTGATAAGCCTCCATGTGATCTCCATTTCTGTGATTTTGTTCCTGTTCTAGTTGTTTGCTTAGTTTGTTTTTGTTTAGGCGTGGTTGTTAATAATTGTGAGTTTGCTGTCATTTTACTATACATGTTTTTTATCTTCTTTTTCCTAGATAAGTCTCTTTAACATTTCATATAATAGGGGCTCGGTGATGATGAACTCCTTTAACTTGACCTTATCTGGGAAGCACTTTATCTGCCCTTCCATTCTAAATGAAAGCTTTGCTGGATAGAGTAATCTCGGATGTAGGTCTTTGCCTTCCATGACTTGGAATACTTCTTTCCAGCCCCTTCTTGCCTGTAAAGTCTCTTTTGAAAAATCAGCTGACAGTCTTATGGGCACTCTTTTGTAGGTAACTCTCTCCTTTTGTCTTGCTGCTTCTAGGATTCTCTCCTTCATTTTAATCTTGGGTAATGTAGTTATGATGTGCCTTGGTGTGTTCCTCCTTGGGTCCAACTTCTTTGGGATTCTCTGAGCTTCCTGGACTTCCTGGAAGTCTATTTCCTTGGCCAGATTGGGGAAGTTCTCCTTTATTATTTGTTCAAATAACTTTTCCACTTGTTGCTCTTCCTCTTCTTCTGGTACCCCTATAATTCGGATGTTGGAACATTTAAAGATGTCCTGGAGGTTCCTAAGCCTCTTCTCATTTTTTTGAATTCTTGTTTCTTCACTCTTTTCTGATTGAATATTTCTTTCTTCCTTCTGGTCCACTCCATTGATCTGAGTCCCAGTTCCCTTCCCATCACTATTGGTTCCCTGTACATTTTCCTTTATTTCAATTAGCATAGCCTTCATTTTTTTTTCATCTAATTTGTGACCAAATTCAACCAATTCTGTGAGCATCCTGATTACCAGTGTTTTGAACTGTGCATCTGATAGGCTGGCTATTTCTTCATTGTCTAGTTGCATTTTTTCTGGAGCTTTGATCTGTTCTTTCACTTGGGCCTTTTTTTTGTCTTGATGCACCTGTTACATAGTGAGAGGTGGAGCCTCAGGTGTTCACCAGGGCAGGGCAACCCAGTGGTTGGGCTGTGACGCTGTATGTGGGGCAGGGGTCTGAGAGGGAACAATGACGCTTGCTCTGCTCTCTGCCAGATTCAGTCACTTCCCCTACTTCCTCCAAGCAAATTGGGCCCTTCTGGTGTTGATTCCCATTTGGTGGGTTTGTGTATGTTCTAGGACCCTGTGGGTCTCCTCCACTGAACTCTCCTGTGAGGCTGGGTGTTTTTCCTGGCACCTCAACCCCTACAGGTGTTTTCCATTGATGTTTTGAGGCTTTATTTCCTTGTGCTGGGACCCTGGGTTGTGTGGTCAGTCTAGCTCCCCAGTTTCACCTGGTTTATCTGTGTGTGAATGTGGGACCACCCCATCCACCAGCCACCTTGTGCACTGAGCCCCTCCATAATCCAATACTTTGCTGGGTCTGCCTGCTGCCGCCTTGTGCTCCCGGGGTCCACCAGCCACAACTTTGGTGTGACCCCTCTCCACCTGACCGCTGTACTCTGCCCCTCCTACTGGTCTGGATGAATGTATCTACTTTAACTCCTTGGTTGCTGGACTTCGATACAGTTCAATTTTCTGTTTACTGGTTGTTTTTTCTTTCTAAATTGTTGTTGTCCTTCTTTAGGTTGTATGAGAAGGTACAGTGTGTCTACGTACACCTCCATCTTGGCCAGAAGTGCCTGTATATTTTTATTTCACTTTTCATAGCCTTCACTTTTTCCTCTATTTTGTAACCATACTCAACCAATTCTGTGAGCATTTTGATTACCAATGTTTTGAACTTTGCATCTGATAGGTTGGCTATCTCTTCATCGCTTAGTTGTATTTTTTCTCGAGCTTTGATCTGTTCTTTCAATTGGGCGACAGTTCTTTTTCTCAGCAAACCTGTTATGTGTAAGGGCTTATTTGTTTTAGATAAACATTTCTAAAGTAAAAATAAACTTTAAATGAAACATTTAAATATCAGGTCCATTTGCATTTAAAAGCAAGATTAAAAAGGTATCTTGTAACTTTAACAACCATAAAGTAGAAGTCAGTTTAGGAACTTGCATTTTTAGGAAGTAAACCACTACCCAAGACTTTTATCTTAATCCCACATGAACCAACTGGAGTAGTTGTAGATAAGCTTCTCTCAGGGCAACAATAACTGGAAATGGAATCCTTGTACTAGCAGACACTTTATAACTGGGACTCATTCACTCATGAAGGCATATGGGAGAACTTTACTAACAGACTTATATTACACATAATTTTCTTCACATACAGTTACTAATCTAAAAAGATTTTAGACAGCAAGCTAAAAGCAATTTCTGGCTTACTTTCTTGCACAGCATAATGATTATTTATAAGACACAAAATCAGTCTTCC